AATAAATTACAATTGAAATATTAAAATGTTTATTCAAAAATAATCAACTCAAATTTGAATTAATCTAAAGCTGATATTGGTCAATAATATATTGGGCACATTTATAGCCAACCACAATAGAGGCCGACGCGGTGTTAGCGTTGGGAAGCACTGGGAATACCGATGAATCGCAAACCCGAAGGTTTTTAATACCCTTAACCTTCAACTGGGGGTCGACCACAACGTCCGGCCTCTCTATGGCTCCCATTCGGCAACTACCACCAGGGTGATATGCAGTATGTGTATTATAGTTTAAATAACACTGCAAACCCTCGACACACTCGTAGGCATACTTTCCCGGACACACCGGACAGCCTATGGGTGCAAATAAGTCAGATATTTCAATATACTGTGTTATTGCCGACTGTTCGAACATATAAAATGCAAATGTTAACGCTTCTAATAGTGCCTGGGCATCACCATGGTAGGACAAACAATTTGGATCAATAATTGGTGATACGTACGGACTGGTCGATTGTAGTCTAATTGTGCCCACGCTTTTAAATCTTACTAAAATTGCGTAAACATTAATCGTGTTACTATGCAGAGTAAACGAATATTGAATGTTTGGCCATTGTTTATTGCGCACCGTGCTAGTGCTATTATATAAAAACAAATTGTTTGTCTGACCTAGCATGCCCGATTGTTGATAATATAGTTGGCTTAATTGCTCCACATTTAATTGTGGATTGGTAGAGAAGGAACTGTAATTAGATTTTAATGGGAAGCCTAAGCCAACCGATGGTTGATTCTGGTAATTGTCACCAACGGGTAGATCCAATACAACTGGAATATTGAAACTTTTCAAATGTTGTTTGTGTCCCAAACCCGATAACATTAGTAATTGTGGACTATTTATTGGCCCTAAATTTTCATATATAAACAATATTATGTAAAATAAAATTATTTTATTAATAAGAAATTGATTTACCGCCGGAGACAATGACTTCTCTGTTGGCGTAAACCGTATACGAGATGTCATTCACTATAAACTCGACGCCAATGGCTGTCAACCCATTGAACAGT